ATAAACTGTTCAAAGAAACACAACAACAAAAACATTCTCCATTTTTCTGGTCTGAAATTTTTTGTTATCTTGAATGTCTGACTAGTACTTGCTAGAAACTATACTGTAATGGAGTAGAAAGACCTGTATCAAGAATTGGAAGATCGAAAGTTGGAGGGCTTGCCTGGGTCCCACCTAGGCCCTGTGAATTTGATTTCCTCATCTGCAATACATATTCTTTATCTCTTATACTGTTTCCTTAGGGCCCTAGAAGTTGTGCCTTGTGAGGTTATTTTGGATTGGTGTATGTGAGAAGTCTCAGCAAACTCTTCTGACGTAAAGTGTAGGTGTTTCTTTCATACTCCTGTTGATTGCAACAATTTGGTCAGTATGACTAGTATTGTCTCCATCCTTGAAATCAGAAAAGAGTCAGGCCCAGTCTTTCTTGTCCTTGTCTACATCCTTCAGCACCACTCTTAGGATCCATGATACCCCACATTCTTCCCAGTGTTCTACTTTAGAATGGTGAGATGAAAAACTTACACAACACTAAGACCTTATGTCCTCAATTTTTTTTTGAGAAGTACCACTTCAGGCTTCGGTTCCATGTGACAGACAATGTTTATACTTATTTGAAGGGGTTCTTAGAAACAGTAGAGCCTTTGAGTCACATGTAAGTGAATCGAACCCTTTGCTTGAAGCAGTTCATTCAAAGTGTGTAGGTTCAGAGTTGTTGTTAGGTGCCATCGAGTTGATTACAACTCATGGGAACCCTTTGAACAACAGATCTGAATCTTGCCCTTCTTCTGTACCATCTTCTAAATCTCCTTCATGCTCAGCTTATTGTCACTGTATCAGTTCATCTTGTTGAAGGCCTTAGGTCAAATAAAAAATGAACAGATGTTTCTCTATTTAATAGACCACTGCTTATTTGTGTTAATGGTTCTGCTGGTTTCAGGAAAGTGACCTGAGCACTTATGCTGAAATTCTGTGCACTCTTCGGGAAGGTGGAGTTTAGTATAGTTATTTACTGTCTTGTAGACCACTCTCCCCCTCCCCCACCCCGCTGGAAACCTAGGGCATTTCTTATACCCACCTAGAGAATTGTTGAGTTGTTTTTGTGTGTGTGTTTGCCATCAAGTCAGAACCGATCTATAGCTGACCCTCCAGAGGGGAGATTGCCCATCCTTCTCCCTCAAACTGATGAGTAACAACTATAATATAGTTTCACACATTTATGTTTAATTTCCAAAAATTGTGTTCACAGTTTCCATTGTTTGGTTGTGTTGGCATGCTATTTCTTCAGGTTAGATTCTCAGCATTTTAAGACAGATATACTACTTGAATTTAATATATTTTTAGTAGTATACTCAAAAAGCTAATTTCATTATTTTCCATGAAAGGCTTACAATTAGTTCATTTCTATGGAAATATTGATTGGTTTCTAGGCCCTCTTTCTGAACTTCTGTTATCTGATACCTAATTCAAAAGTGCTGGACCAAACCTCCTGCCACTGAGTGGGTTCTGCCTGGCAGTGACCCTCCTTGGGGGACAATAGAGAGTGTGAGGGTGGTACAGAACTGAGCCTGGCTTTGCTTGCTTGTGCATATAAGTCAGTGCCTTCTTGACAGTACCCAACAATAGCAACAACAACAAATGCAAAAGTCTTGTCATAGATTATAAGGTAAGTAAGATAAGGATAATAGAAATGCTTTGGCTAAGCTATCCTAGATTCTTCCTCTGTAGAGTGATTTCATTATTACTGATCAGCTTGATTACCAGAACTGTGCAGTCATCATCAGCATGTAGCATAGAGGGAAATTCTGCATTAGCATTTTATATGATTAGAGTGTATTTTATATTAATAACCCACTTTTCAAAGTTATTATCCATCATCATAAAAAGATAATCCTGACCAAATGTTGTTTCACAAAGATAGGAAATTTTATTTTAATCAAGAATTCCATACTTTAGGAACATGAGTAAAGCTCCAGTTACCCCATCTGGATTGTTTGGATTCAGTGGCAATGAAATTCTTTCTTTTGAACATATCAAATACTGGATGGCTTTCTTTAGAGCACTAGCACTTTGAGAGTCCCATCCCTAGTGGAGCAGAGGCAAGGATAGCCTCTGGGCAGCTGGCAGAATGTAGACCAGGGTTTTTGGAGATGCACTGAGGGGACAGGCAAAAGATATCTGAGCTCTTCTCCTGAAAATGCTGAATCCCCAACAGGAAGCAGGACTGTTTGGGGAATTGTCAGCTCAGCCAAACTATCCAAATCTTCAAAGCATTAGATTCAGACTTATAGAGGGACTTTCAAGATGTCTTTCTTCAAGGCTTTCTGTCATGGTCCTTGGCTGTCAGAATACCCTGGCTTTCATTTTTGAAGGATAATTGAGGCCTCCTAGCCTGCCGGATCCTCCAGCTCCAATTTTCCACAGAGCTACTACTTATCCATCTGGCCTCGCCTGTATTTTCCACATATGTTGCCCTGGCCAGTTTCTGCCACCAGTCCTTTTCATCAAGTCATAAGTCCAATGTAGGGAGCAGACACACAAAACAAATCTCACACAGGTCAAGTTCTTGAATTTGTGTTGGATATGATTGAAAGGAGAAAAGTTAATATAAATTTAGAAAATTTTAATTAACTGAACGTTTGGTTGTTTTGTTAACATATGGCAGAACACGAGTTGGTGTTTAGTGAGTTGAATATCCTGTTAACTAAAGAGAACCTTCTGCTATATAGTACGCATGGCTTCTATTATAAAAGAGACATTGAAGGATTGGTTCTTTCTTGAGCTTGTGGAGTGGCCAGGGGTGAAGGGAGAGCACTGCTGTGTTTCATAGTGACTCATTTGATGATTTCTCCATTGTTTGAAGAGCTTCGTGTTATGCAATCAACATCTCTCCCCTCCTCCAACTCCTGTTTTGGTTGGGTATTTTCCCCCCTAACAATCTGGGATTTTCCATCATTTTCTTAACCTTCCTGGAGGCATGTTGATTTTTCCAGCAGATCTTTCTGGACATGTCCCAGGACAGCCTATACTCAATAGATCCGAGAACTTGGCTTTCCCTAAGGTATCTGGGCCTGGGAGGGCAGATCCTGGAACTGTCCAAGACTTCAGGCAGAACCTGGACTCTGAGGTCTGACAGCCCCACTGAGAGCAAGTAGGCCAGAGAGTGATGCCTGCACCTCTAGCAAGCTAATGTCCCTTTATTTCCTTGCTCAGAGACAGTCTGTTTGCTTCTCTTGCCACAAGTCATCAGTAGACATTTTTCCCTTAAGTATTTCCATTTTTCTCAGGCAGTAAGGCATGAGCTTAGTCCTGGGAATTTTCACACTAGCAAGGATTTAGAGATGGCTCACTGAGGAAACTTCTACAGTATCCTCTTCTGGAACTCAGCCACTTCATAACTCTATTTCCTGTGATGCACTCAGGAGTCGAGTTGAGGAGGACAGCTGCTGGAAATCATTGTAGTGTTACTACTGAAAGATCACAACGAGGCCAGTAAGAGTCCTTGAGTCCTTTCTTTGCACATTAGCCTCTGGTGGGAAGTTGTACTTGAGGTGAGTTTAGATGTTCAGTGTTGGCCATACTTTTGTCCATCATGTGAGGTTGGTGTAAGTACAGGAGGAACCAGGCAGAACAGTTACCTGGAAACACACGGGGGCAGCAAATATTGGAACATTTGTAAATCTGAAATTTTGATATCTCACTCCCCTTTGCCAGCAATGAACCCAGCAAGTTAAGTCTTAAAGATTGTACCTCCTAGAAATACAACCTCCCCCTTTATCTGTTCTGCTTATACTATCTCTGATGCTACCGCCAAAAATATGGTTATTGCCTGATGGTATTATTGTACAACTTTTCAAGTCTTTCTATGTTCATTCATATTCCTCTGCTAGACCATTCTTGACTGAGCAGCTAAGGTGACCTTAAAACAAAATTCAGTCATGTCTTTTCTTTTCCTTTTGGTACTGAAACTCCCTGCAACCTCCATCATGATGTTCATTTGTATGATTTCCTTTGTGAATAATGATTCTCTTTCTTTAATGAACATCAGAATTCTCTAGATCTGTGTTAAAACACAGATTTCTGAATTTTTTAGCTAAGAGGCATGAAAAGTGGGGTCTTGGAATTTGTATTTCTAACAGTTTCCAGGAAATTTCTGATGCAGCTGCCCACTTTGATAATTCCTCCCTCCCTCCTAAGTGAGGCCTTTTCTAGTGCTCTGTTGCCTACTATATGTTTGCCTTGCTTCGGGTACTTTTCCTTTGAAGCCCTTGTTGACATTGTATGAATGTTTAATTGTGTTGATAATTGTTTAATGACTGAATCCCTTCTTGCACATAATTCAGCTCCCTGATGGTGGGGCAATTTCTATCTTGTCCATAATGTTTCTCTAATTCCTCCTGTATTTCAAACTCATTATCATCAAGTCGAAATAGGAGAAGATGGCTTATCTCTCTCTTATGGAGTCTTTGGTGGATTTGCACCACAAGGAAAGTGCAGCCTTTGCATTAGCACGACTTTCCCTGGACAACGGCACCAGAGTTCTCCAGTTCCTTATGTATAACAAGTGCTAAGTAACAGTTCTTTGGCTGACCCTCCACCTTTCATAGGGTCATCTGTTAGTTATACTCAACTTGATGACACTTAAAACAACAAAGTAACTGCTGATGGATATACACTGATACTTCCTTTTCATAGATAATTCGAAGGACCTGGTAATACTAACACTCTCAGTGAGTGCAAAAGATAAGCAAGGATTGTGGGTAAACTAGCAAGCTGTGAAAAAAGAAAGGATTGACTTTGTTTCAAAGATTATGAGCATTATGGGCAAGAGTCACGGGGTTTTCTTCAGGGCCATTCTTCAAACTTTACCTCCTTCAGTGATGTTGTTAGCATGGTTGTTTCTCAGCTTGTTTCCTTCTTCAGCCCTTCCATGCTTCATTGTGTTTTAAGGATGTTAGAGATATTATTTACCCTGGTAATTCATTTGGTATTTTTTCTTCTAGATATGGAGTGTACAGATGTCCCATTGTTAACTCCAAGCAGCAAAGAAATGATGTCTCAAGCATTGAAAGCTACTTTCAGTGGTTTCACTAAAGAGCAGCAAAAACTGGGAATTCCAAAAGGTATGCCTTTGTTCTTGGACAGACTTGTCCACAGCCTGGCCATGGGCCTACATCTTCACTCACAGCATTCACAGTAGAGGGCAGCCCTCACTCTAGTGAGCAGCTGCCAGTTGGTGCAGGTCTCAGTGAGAAGAGTGGCCAGTACACATGCCAGTGCTCAGCCACTTGCGTGGATTGTTAGTGTCATCTTACTCAAAAATAGTGTTTCCCAGTTTGCCTGAGCAAAAAAACAACCTTAAGGTCTTTAAAAACCGTCCTGCCTCCATCCTACCCCAGATGAATTAAATTACAATCTCTGGTGGTATCAGTGGCTATCTTACCAAACTCCTTAAGTGATTCACATTTTGATAAGTGTGAAAACATTGCTATAGCATCACTATGGGCCACAGGGGAACGTAATCCTTTGAAGTAGCTTAGTGACCACTGTTTCCTGGTCTGTGTTGATGCTTCTTCCCTTCTATTCCATATGCTTAGGAATTTTGAAATGTTGTACTCAAGTGTTCTAATCGGAAAGAATTTATTCAAGAATGTAAGTAGAATTGTCCAGAAGCAGAAATGACTAAAGAACATGTACGCATCCACCATGGAATACTTTGCATACAAACTTTGAGAACAAACAGGGCAATTTTCTACTGAGTAAGAAGACTGCCTTTAGATCTAGCCTGTCCTACTGCTGTGAAAGACCTCCAGCCTGGTTAGCCCAAAGCCTTAGACAGATTCCGTGAATGTGTCTATACGTTCTTTCCCATGTGTTCTACTAACCACAAACCACAGCTGACAGCAATGCCAAATAGCCTTTGAGGATCATAAGATAGAACAAAGTGAGTTCTGACCATTTTTCCTTACCATTTTATAACACACTCTGCCAGATTGAAGGGGATAACGTTGGAGGCAAGTGTGCTGTGCATCAAGCCTGCCATCATCCCAGACTCTTTTAAATGCTGAATTTGGTTCCATGCAAGAAGACTATACTCACATTATCAGCTTTTCTCAAAAATACTCAAGCTCACTTAGATTAGAACCAGCTTATAGCTAACCCTCCACCCGGCTGTCCGGAGGCTGCCAATCGCACATGAGGAGATTGCTCATCTTTTTTCCTTGTGGATTTAAATGGCCAGGGAGGTGCTACCTTTGGGCCAGCAGCACTGCTTCTTATGGACAGTGCTCGAGAGCTCCCTACAGTATCATTTCAAGCAGGACCTGTGATTTTGTATACTTAAAAATTGTCAGGTATAATGCAGGCATTTTAGTACTACTAAGTACACTTGAGTGACTAAAGATTACTAATTGCTGTGGTTATTAATAGACATGATTGGTTAAACCCACTAAGTTAATATGATTCTGACTTGTGGTGAGCCTATAGGACAGAGTAGAATTGCTCCTGAGGTTTCAGAGGCTGTAAATCTTTACAGAAGCATCTGCTCTCTTTAAACCGCTGACTTCTTAGTTTGCAGCTGAATCCCATCATACCACTGGCTCCTATAGTTAGCTAAGATAACAGTAATTAAAAATAATGGTCCTAAGTGTAATAGTGAAGAGCAGGAAAAGACAGAGTAAAACCTCGAGAATACGCATCCTTTCTTCTTACTCATATTGTTGTTGGTTTGTACTTTCTAGTTGAAACTGACCCATAGTTGATCCTCCAGTGGGTTTTCAGAGGCAGTGAATTGCATGGGAGGAAATTGTTCCTCCTTCTCCCGTGGAACAGCTGGTGAATTCCAAACGTGTGCCTTTGGATTGACAGTGCCACTCCTTCATACTAAGCCACCAGCACCGTTGTTAGAGAAGCCATTTGTTCTCATACAATTTCAGTAAGTCCACAAGGAATAAGGAGAGTCAGGGAACTCTGGATGGAGAGCAGGGTACAGAGTGCTACTTTTTCTGACGGCTTAGTAGTTCAAATCCACCAGCTACTCTGTGAGAGAAAGATGGACAGTCTTCCCCTATGAGATTTACAGCCTCTGAAAACTCACTAGAGGGTTAGCTATAAAATGATTCTGGCTTAATGGTACATAACAACAACAACAGAGATCTCTTAAGTGGCAAAATAGTGTGTAATATTGAAGCTGGAAAGGAAGGTACCTGATGACCTTTATGTATATACTGCTATTTCTTAATTCTATGAATAGGATGGCGTCCTTTGCTATATACTCAAGGTCTTATTAGTGCTGCCCTGAGGCTCAGGTGAGAGTTGAAAGCTGATCTGCTGAATCTTCGTTTCTCTTCCCTCAGACCCCCGGCAGTGGACAGAAGCTCATGTCCGAGACTGGGTGATGTGGGCTGTGAATGAGTTCAGCCTGAAGGGTGTGGACTTTCAGAAGTTTTGTATGAATGGAGCAGCTCTCTGTGCCCTGGGAAAAGACCGCTTTCTCGAGCTGGCCCCAGACTTTGTTGGGGATATCTTATGGGAACATCTAGAGATTCTGCAAAAAGGTAAATGTGTGCAAACTTGGGGAGGTGGGTGCTGGGGGAGGGATCATTGGCAGGGTAAGTTGAAGTGTGCAGAGAAGTACGTGGTACACGGCGCCTGGCATATGACATATGCTCAAGAAATGATTTTTTTTTAGTCTTTGGACTGAGGGCTCAGGTCATAGTATGATTTGTTTGTGTGTATGTGTGTGTTTTGTGTGATCTTTAGCAGAATGGTGGTTATGAGCTTCCTTGGAATATAAAAATATGGGCTCAATCTTTATTTCAGACCTATGTGCTGTTTGAACAAATAGTACCTGCAGTCAGCCTTAAGATAGCTTGTTTTCCTGACAGTTTTAACACCCTTGATCTAAGGCAGTGGTGATAGCTGTCACATTCATAGTAAGGCTCAGCCTCTCAGAGCTTTAAACAAGACAGGCTTCTCTACTCACTAGCTGCCTTAGAAGTACACGAGCACACCATCCCTTCTACATCTGGAACAAGAGATAGTGGGGTTAATTAAGGACAACGTGTTGCTACCTTACAATGACATGACCTCCCCTTCCAACCTCTTTCAGCCTTTTTGGACCAAGTGACTCATGTGCCACAGACCTGGCTAAAGACAGAAACAGCAGCAGGCGGCAAACTTGGGTGTTTTTGCGCTTATTTTTCTGAATTTCTTCTTAAAATAAATTGCAGTTACCAGCAGTCAGCAGTGCCCTCCAGCTGACTGTAAGCCTAGAAGCCCGCTGCCCTCTCTAACCCAGGCCCACCCCTTCCCTGTGGTCATTGGCTTTAGCTGTTGCCACAGAAGCTAGGGGAAGGGACTAAAGCTCAGGATTAGCACTTTTATTCCATATAATACTTTCCTTTGTTTAAGAATATTTTCCTCTCTGCAAGGCCCATGAGGGACTCAAATTAGATTCCTCTGGGCATAGAAGTATCATCTTTATTCCTTCTCGTTGGCTTCTGTTGAAACATAAATAAGCACAGGGAAGGAATAGGTGAATCTGTCTGGGACTGTGGTAGCAGAGGACCCTTGAGCAATCAGGCAGCTATGTGGACAACCCAAAGCTGCAGCATGGTTCTCTGAACCATGCCTACACCCACTCACAGGCAGACAAACCATGCCTATGCCCACTCACAGGCAGACACCAGCCACCTGTTTAGAGAGGATATGGACATGGCAGCCTCATAAGCTGTCAGATTTAACTCAGATTTAGCAACTGATTTATAAACACCAAAGCAAATTTCAACAGACTGTAACAAGATATATTCTACTAACATAATGTTGTCCATCTCTTTATCAAAATGATCTCTTATCATGTTTTGTTGTTATGTACTGTTGAGTTGGAACCTACTTGTAGTTGACCTTCAAGTGGCTTTTTAGAAGTTGTGCATTGCACAGGAGGGGATAGCCTATCTGTCTCCCAAGGAGCAGCTGGTAGATTCAGACCGCTTTCCTTTGGGTTGAGAGTGCAGCTCTTTACCCTTACTACTCTTCTCATTGCTTTCAAGTCAGAATCACCTCACAGCTGACTTTTTAGCAAGTTTTCAGAGGCTATAATGCACATACGAAGAGATTGCCCATATTTCTCCTGAGGAGCAGCTGATGCATTCAAAGTGGCTGCCTTTGGGTTGGCAGCACAACTCCTTACTGGCTAGGCCACCAGAGCTACCTACTACACGTTGTTAGACACCGTCAAGCTGACTGTGACTCACAGTAACCCTTTGAGAAACAGATTTGAAATTTGCCCTACTCTTTCTGTATCGTCCTCCTGTTTTCTGCCTTGCTCAAGCCCACTATAGTACTAACTATGTTAATCCGTCTTGTTCATTCTTCCTCTCTTTCTTTGACCCTCTACTTTCCCCAGCATATTGTCTCTCTCCAAGGACTGGTTCTTCCTGAATATATTATAGTTTCCTCATCTTTGCCTCTAAGGAACACTCCGGTTACACTTCCTTCAAGATAGATTTTTTTAAATTTTTATTTGGTTGTTATTGTTGTTCTTTTGGCAGTCTGTGGAATATTTAGTACTCTTCTCCACAGCTCAAAGGCAATGATTATTCTTGTTATCCTTAGTCATTGTCCAACTTTCAGATACATAGGAAGCAATTTAAAAAGATCAGGACTTGGATCAGGTGCACCTTAATCTTTAAATTTACATCCTTGCGCTTTAGAACTTTGGAGAGGTTCTTGATAGCAGATTTTCTCAATGCAGCATATCCTTTTATTTTTTTACTGTTGGTATCAGTCTTCATCTATCATGATGTTGCCTGTTGGTTGTGAGGATTTTTGTTTTCTTGATCTTAAGCTGACCTAGTCCATAGCATGCCGCTATTTCTCAGATACTTGAAAATATGTTTTTATTTCCCCTCTTTTGATTCTCAAAAGAGTCCCGTGAAATAGGAAAGGACAAGTTCTATTATTGTCCTTGTCTTATAAAACGAGGTTCAAGTTAGGTGATTTCCTCAAGATCGCTCATTTTCTTAAATTTGGGGTTTCATTTTTTACTGAACTTCTGATCCTTTGTAAAATCATGTGGACTCATGTGACTTCTCTGGACCCATGAAAGCAGTTTGGCCTTGTTGGCTATAAAGGAATAACTTAGGAGAAGTAGACTCTGTATAATTGAGAACAGAAAGTCTTGTCACCCTATTTAGTCAGCCCCTAAGACTCATCCTTCTCCAGATCTTTGAAAAGGCTGAGCAAGGTGTTTGTGCTGAAGCTCTGGCATATTTTTCCGAAATTAAACCAGAACAACTCAGCACCAAAAGAACATAGCTGCTTGGGGTGGGGTGGAAGGCCAAAGGTACAGGGGATGTTTTGATCTGATAAGCTGCTACAGGCTACAGCAGAGGTTAATCATTTTATCTCAACTGGAAACTATTTTTTCTATGCAGGCATAAACTTGTTTTCTCTGAATTCTCTGTTCACAACAAGCTATCAGATACCCGGGGTGACTAAAATCAACACTGTCTCTTTATGTTTTGTTCTTGTATTGAAATACAATCAAATTACTCCATGCAAGAATCAGAGGGCACAACATTTGCTTCTAGACTAATTAGAAAATTCCAGAACACCCAGCAGCTCACTGGAGAGCTTTTTGTATCCTTAACTACCCTCACAGACATTCCTCTCTCACCACCAGGGACACTGGCTCTGTGACTCTTCTCTCCCTATATATGGGCTCAGTCATATTTCATCAAATGGAGTCATCTGCTCAGTGTAGTACTCCCTTTCTGGACCTGAACCTGAAATATGAGTGCAAGCAAACAAACAACAACCTCCAAACCAACATTTGTTAGAAGAAAAGGAAGGAAGAAAATGTACCACTCTAAAGATTACAAGCATGTATTTGACGGTTAAGGACTGATTTTAGCAATATTTAAAGGGCTTTTAGTCTTTGATTCTGATGTGGTTCACACACATAACAGCAAAGATTCCTCTAGAAGTAGAGGTTGAAAGCCCACCCAGTCCTTAGAGGATCACTGATACTAAATCGCATTTTGCAGCTACTGAGACCATATGCTTAGTGAAGGTTTTGGGATCTCCTCCTTAGCCAAGACCCTCATCAGGACAGATGCAGAAACCCAGTTCAGAGAGTGTGAGATCATTGCACTCTACTTCAAGATCCTTGTAGGCCAAGTGTGATATGTTTTGACCATTCTGTTTTGTTCTTGTTTATTATAGAGGATGTGAAGCCCTATCAGATTAATGGAGTGAACCCCACATATCCAGAGTCCCGTTATACCTCGGATTACTTTATTAGTAAGTTCTTTCATTCCTATTTTCTCACCTCTTTCACGATAATGGGAAGCTACAAAGGGTTGCCAGTCTTAAGATCCTCCATGGTAATTCATAGAAAATTATAATTGTTGAAATGTTGATTTCTCTTAATTATTTACTTTAATACTTTCTACAAAAGTACAGTGTTACAAGCATATACAAATTTCATTAACTTTCAAGTTTCTGCATGCTAGCTTTCTGAAGCTCTGCTGGTACAGTGAGTAAGCACTCAGCTGCTATGGTTGATGGTTCACACCCAGCCAGTAGCTCTGGGGGAGAACGATCTGGTGATCTGCATTTGCAAGACTCATAGCCAAGAAAACCCTGTAGATGGGTCCTGTTTTGTCTCAGGGGCTCCCTGTGTCAGATTGGAGTCCACAGACCTCAACATAGAAGTCATGCCAGAAAAAAAATGTCACTTGACCCCTAAATTTTATCTTACTTGATCCTGTGCACAGTTGTGCTTATCAGAAGGGTGGATTAGGAATGTAATCTTGGTTTACTCTTTTTTTTTTTTATTTAAGATGATGATACCTGTTGCCTTGAGTCATCTCCAAGTCAAGCAAACCTATATGACATAATAGAACTGTCCACTATGGTTTTTAGAGTATTTCCCTTCTCACATCCCTTCTCAGGAGTGTGCCAGTTAGCTTTGAATTCTGGTATGGAGAATAGCTCGTCTCTTCCTAATCTATATTAAGGCATATACTGGATGAAGAAAAGCTTAACAGCGCTCTTCTGCCAATGAAAAGAAACCAGTGGATAACTTATGATTCCACTGTACATGTGGTCACTGTGAATTGGGAACCAACTTAACAGGAGGCACCAACAACATCAAAAATACATCCAAATGGTGACCAAATGAGGAGTCAGTGTAGAATAATTCTCATCTGATCGCTTAGAGAGTCTTAAAACACTAATTTTTAATTTTTACTTTAGTTTATTCTGATTTTTAATAAATCTACAACAACAGCGTTAAGTGCTGTGCACCAAGAAGTTTATTATATATCAGAAATGGTGCATATGCTCTCGGGTGGTCATCACTGTGGTGCTAGGGAGGTAGTTGCAATCATTCCTGTCTTGTAGTTGAAAAAATAAAAGCAGAAAGTTGTTGTGTTGTTGTTGTTATGTGCCGTCGAGTTGCCTGCGACTCATAGCGACCCTGTGTACAACAGCCCTAAACTCCGCTCTGTCCTGTGCCAATCACACTGTCTCTGACACTCCCATCCCAATTATCACTGAATCAATCCACCTCATAGAGGGCCTTCCTCTCCTGCGCCGTCCCTCCACCCTCCCAAGCATGATGTCCCTCTCCAAGGACTGGTCTCTCCTCACAACATTTCCAAAGTAAGTTAGACAGAGCCTCAGAATCCTTGCCTCCAAGGAGCCCCCCGGTTTAACCCTCTCCAGGACAAATCTGTTTGTTTTCCTAGCAGTCCATGGTATTCTCAATGCTCTTCTCCAGCACCACAGCTCAAAGGCATCAATTCTCCTTCTATCCTCCTTGGTCATTGTCCAACTCTCTGATGCATAACAGGTGATTGTGAAGACCATGGCCTGTATCAGATGCACCTTAGTCTCCAGAGAGACACCACTGCTCTTCAGCACTTTGGAGAGGTCCCTAACAGCAGACTTTCCCATGGCAATGCGCCTTTTAATTTCCTGGCTGCTGGTGCCAAGACTGTTGACTATGGAGTCAAGCAAACTAAAGCTGTGTACAATCTCAATCTCTTCACCATCCATCCTGATGCTGCCAATTGGTCCAGTGGTGAGAATCTTTGTCTTCTTGACATTGAGCCTCAATCCATATTGTAGGCTGCAGTCCTTGACACTCTGCAGCAGGCGCTTCAGGTCCTCCTCAGTTTCAGCAAGCAGGGTTGTGTCATCCGCATAACGCAGATTGTTGATAAATCGTCCACCAATCTTGACCCCACATTTCTCCTCATAGAGCCCAGCCTCCCGGATAATCTGTTCTGCATATAGGTTGAAAAGGTATGGAGATAGGATGCATGAGCAAAATAATATATGGAAGCCAATAAAATTTGGTTTGTGTTTGTTTTTAAAGATGTGGAGCCAAGGAAAAAAGAATGGCAGAAAAGAGAATTAACTTGTCATGATTTATAGCCAGTGAGTGATAGAACAGGCTTACCCATCCATGCCTTTCTGGCTTAAATATTTTCTTTTCATTCTCTATTGTAGCCAGCTTGTTGTACTTTGTGGGAGGTAAAATGCTACTGTATTAGGTGCAAAGTCCTCCTCTTCTAGTTGCAAACCCTCTCTTTTCAGGCTATGGTATCGAGCATGCCCAGTGTGTTCCTCCATCAGAGTTTTCTGAGCCTAGCTTCATCACAGAGTCCTACCAGACACTCCATCCCATCAGTTCTGAGGAACTCCTCTCCCTCAAGTATGAAAATGACTACCCTTCTGTCATCCTCCGGGACCCCCTCCAGACGGACCCTTTGCAGACTGACTATTTTACTATCAAGCAAGAAGTTATAACCCCAGACAACATGTGCATGGGGAGGACCAGTCGTGGTAGGTCACATTTTGCATTTTCGAGAATTACTTAACCTTGTGAGTTCCCTAGACTCTATGCTTTCTCACTACAGGCCTTGTACATTTCTCAGCTTCAGCCTTGTCTTTTTAGGATGTGTACATTAAGAAAGAATTTCCATCATAGATTTGTAGATGAGTCTTGTCACAGTGACAACACCCTATTTATGAAATTTTGGAACAATGAGGTATCTTTTTTTGGAGTAAAATATTTTATCCAGACAATAATTATAGCTGGATATAGTAATTTTTCAAAATATGTTTTCTTTTCTTTGAGAAAATCTTATTTGAGGAGGACATAATTAAAAATAGCCAAGGGTGACGTTTGGGAACATCATTACACTTCACATGCTTTCTACTGTTCTTCCCAGAGCTCTGCTCCAACTGCAGGTTCTTGTTAGGAACCTGACAGAACCTCTACTGTTCAGCCTGAAAGATTTAGCTTCTGTGACATCTCTGGTCTGGAAAGATACCAGATGGTTAGCCGAGGCTGGTTTATTTATAAGTAGTCATTTTCAGTGTGAGTAGTTTAGCTGGACAACCCAGGGACACAGGAACAGAGCTTTTCAAAAAGGCCCTTTCGTTGAATGACTATGATGATGATAAAACATTCATTAATGGTGAAAAAAGTGTTGAAAAAGATAGGATTAAAAAAAGGGAAACAAAGTAAACTCAATTTTTAAGATGGACCATAAACATGAAGGCACATGGTATAGCTAGAAAAAGGTTCAAATTGTATTGTTTCTGAGAAAAGTTCATCATAAGGAGGGATTTGTTCATTTAGGAACTACCTATTGGTTACTAAAAGATTGGAAAAGGTGGTTACTTTTCATCTCACAAAGACTCATTGTTGTGGGAACTACCTTGAGCAGTCTCCAGAAACTGTCTATTTCATGTCTGTACAAAAGGAGCAGCTGGTGAATTTGAAGTGCTTGCCTTGGTACAACTCCTTATAGACTAGGCCACTGGAGCTCCTTAACTTTTCAGGTAGATATGAAAAACAAACAGGAGACCAAAGAGGTGCTCACCGTGTAGGCAGTTAAGCATGTATAGTAGACCTGTTGCTTTCTACTCAAAGATTGACCAGGTCTCTACTAGGTTTTCAGAGAGGAACCCAACAGCCACACCCCTACACCCCAGCCTCAAGCACTGTTAGCTGTAAACATTGTCACCTCTTCAAATGTTCTAGCTGCTTATACTTCCTCCCAGCAGTCACTGCATACGGAAAGTCCCCAGCAAAATCAGAACTTATTATCTTCACTCTCAGGACCTTGGGGTGTTTGAGTTTCAGACAAAAGGGATTGGGTGGGACAAGATTTACCTTTCCTTTTCTGATACTAGCTGGGTTTTTTTGGTTATTGTTGTTGTTATTGGTTGGTTTTTTTTTTTAATGTTGGAGACATGTTTATTTAAATAGCATACTCAGGTATGTGTATATGTATCTTCCGCCCTACCCTCACCTTTGGGATGGTCAGGGCATTAGAAAAACTTACTTTCGGTGAGCTCTGGTGGCCTAGTGGCAAGGAGCTGCAACTACAATCCCAGAGGCACACGGTTCGAATCCACCAGATGCTCTGCCAGGAAAAGGAGGGACAATCTCCTCCTGTACCAGTCAGAACTGATTTGACGGTACACTCACACACACAAAAAAAAAGGAAAAAAAAGGAAAATCTTACTTTCTTGTGGAGATCTCTTTATCTCTGTCTATCTATCTATCTATCTATCTATGCTGTTGAGTTGGTTTTAATACATTGTGAGTTCATATGACTGTAGTTGTGTCACCATCTCTTTTCTTTCTTTTGGGTTTTGTTTTTGATTATCACTGTCTGCTCAAGCCTCCACTGATGACTGTAGACCAAACAGTGACCCTTAAAAGGTCTTTCTTTCTAGTTCCACTCCCCCTTTCTTAATCCAAAGTTTATACCACACAGGAAAAGACCATTTTGTGCATGACCATGTTTTACATCTTGAGACTGCTACATATAGAACAGAGTCCAAGGGTTGATTGAACTTGCAATGGTGTGTTTGGTCTAGACTAAAAGCATGACGACTGTTGGTTGATTATTACTAATAACCATAGTACTCATCTAGTGTCTGCATAGTGTGTCTTTATGCTGGTCTGTTCAGGGAATGGGGTATAGAGCTACCTCATCTATTCTTTTTGAATGCTGGTGGTCAGCTTGGCTCTGTAACATTTCTCACAAATGGTAGCCACTGGGTGTAGGAGAGGATGCAAACTGCTGCCTGTGAATGCAATAGCATAAGTAAGTGTCTAATTCAATTGGCATCAATCCATTTTGGGGGGCAAAAAAGCTATAAATGAAGATTTCCAGCTCTAAGATTATAAAATAGATGTGAAATGAAACTGCTTATGTTTGACAGCTTGACAGAAAGCAGTTAAGCCTAGTTCAACATCCTTGCTTTTTGGGACTCCATAGAAATGGAGCAGTCATCTTGCTTGTGGAAGTTCTGATTTTCCTGCTGCCAAATATATATAAAAAAAATGGTTTGTAGAAATAGAGTCTTTTCAGAGACATTAGTATACCAATTGCCGAAATATCAATGATTTAGTGGGATGGTCTTCATAAAAAGAAATTCTCTCTTTTGGAGTGTTAGCTTTGCAAAGAAATTAAATGACTGTTGAGATCAATTGCTAGTATGAGCAATCAGCTTTTTATGAGATGCCTCAAAATTTCCTGTACTATTAAAAAAAAAGCACTGCTATTCTTCTTGTGAATTCTTCCTGAGTCATTGAGTTGCATTTCTAGAAAAGACAATTCCTTCTTTATAATACAAAATAAAGAATTGAATGTACAAGGGACTAGATAGGAAAAACTCCTTGAAGTGTTTCCATTTGTTCTGGTAATTAGCTTCTTTGGAATGGATGATTTGAAGAAGGAAGGAGCCAAAGCTTTTAAACAACCAGCTTCCTATTACAAGCAGTAATGGAGGATACATAAGGTAATTTATAAATCAGTGGATTTAGAAAAACTTAGACGTAATGGAATTAATTTAATTTGAGATTATCATCTTATTAAGTGGCAACTTTGGAATGACTATATATTTAGCATTAATTTGGGTACCTGTTCATATTTGTTTTTACCAATTACCATCATTGTGTAGAGAAGAATATGCCAGAAGCATTAACAGCATAAAGTTAGATAGGCCGACCTTATGCAGGGGTTTGAAAGTTGTGGTTGATCAGACACACAAAACAATTGAGAGTTAACTCCTACATACACATAGTCGCTTCATTTGTTCTCTTCACTTGTGATTAATTGAATTGGGTAATTGGGTATCTTTTTTTTTTTTTTTTGTATGCATGAAGGGTATCTTGTTTTATGATTTAATTTAGGGATCTAAAAGGGGATGCTATGAGTTAGAGTCGACTCAGCGGCACCTTATAATGACATCTAAAAGTAGAGAAAAATATTCATGTGACTCTTTTCAGTTTATCAGTGCCTTTATTCTCCTCTAAAGTTTTATGTTCATCTCCTTTTTAAAGGGCAGTTTTGCCTGTGGAAGTTTCTCCAGGAGTGATTGTGTAATCATAACAGCTGTTTATAACCTGTTTTGGGAAGTTAGTGAACTTGTGTGATCCTGTGGTCAGCTAAGAATGCTTTAAAGAGTAAAAAGAGTTTTGACACTATCCCTTTAATCTACTCTTGTGTTTCTACCCCCACCAAAGAAATATATTTTCAAGTAGAACTTTGTGCTTACACAGGATAAAAATTAAGAATTTCTTTTTAAAAGAGTGACAGGATTTCTTTATCTTCTGGAAAATCTGTCTCCTATATTCTTTCTCTACTTGAGAAGGCACAGAGACAGGGCATGTGTCTCATTTTACAATAGTATTTGGGAAAAATTTTAAGAAGTAATATTCTAACTTCAAGGTCAAGGAATGTCAATCTGCTCTTAGTCTAATGGAATTTTTTTCTTATGACCAAACCTTTTTGCCAAATTAGACATTTTGAAATCATCTTTGAGTTGGATGGAATACAGCATTCAGCATGACACTGCTCTGATTTCTTCAACTACTCATTGCTTCTATAATAGTAGTGAGAAAACCCATAATAATACGGATTTCTCAGCTTTTAGATATCTGACTTTAGTCTTCAAGCATTGTTGTCTGTCTCTGACAGAGATGAGCATCATTCTACTCTGAATCTACGAACTCAGAGTTGTGAAACAGGGCACATAGTGGCACAGATTGTGGGGACTGCTTATTGCTGAGGGAAGCCATTTTCCAAAGCAAATTCACAGCCTTGAAGTTTCCTTATGCACCCCTCTTCTTCCATCCCTTCTGTGGATGTGATTAGCACTCTGTCCTTGGATAAGAGGGTTTTTACAGTTGTTGTTTTTTCCCAATCCCTCTTTCCTGTTCTCTTCCTACCTTTTCCTCTACCTCCAGGTAAGCTCGGGGGCCAGGACTCCTTTGAGAGCATAGAGAGCTACGATAGTTGTGACCGCCTCACCCAGTCCTGGAGCAGCCAGTCATCTTTCAACAGCCTGCAGCGTGTTCCTTCCTATGACAGCTTCGACTCAGAGGACTATCCAACTGCTTTGCCCAACCACAAGCCCAAAGGCACCTTCAAGGACTATGTGCGTGACCGTGCTGACCTCAACAAGGACAAGCCTGTCATTCCTGCTGCAGCTCTGGCTGGCTACACAGGTAGGCACCCTCCCACACCTAGGCAGCAGCAGCCTCAGTGGGCATGCATGCTTCTATGCATAGATCCCAGAGTATGAGTGCCAGACTTTGTCTTCTTGAGAGAGTAGGAGAAGACTTAAAGAAGTCAGGACAATTTCCTTAGTTAATCTGTTTGTGAATGGGTATTGATTTTTGGATTTGTATAGTATTCTACTCCAAGGTGTCATTTCAAAGGGTCGTAACATATTCGTTTCTATGTACTGTCAAGATGGAACCAACTCATGGTTGACCCTCCAGTGACTTTTTAGAGGCAGTAAATTGCACTGGAGGGGATAGCCTTTTCCCATAGAGCAGCTGGTAGATTTGAACCACATGCATTTGGGCTGGTAACACAACTTTTTGTCATTATGTCACCAGAGCACAAGATACATTTGTATTGTTGACTTTCCCTCATATCTAGGGAAAGGGAAATATTATGATTTGATATCCTTAAACACTCCACCAAGTGGCCTAGCATCAAGGGACTTTCTTGACCAGATGTTGAGTGGTCTGTCTAAACATAAAACACAACTCTAAGGAATAAAAATGTTATAGACTCTAGATCTTTCTGTAATGCAGTATTCATTAGATCAACTATATAAATGTCAGAAGAGTATCTTTAGTCACCCTTCACTCTGTGTAGCTCCATCCTGCCCTTTACAGGAAGCATTTTTATCCATCATCTAACTCAGCTATAACGTCTTACTTATATCAAAGGTTGATGGAACAAATGCAATAGTTGTGGTACATGAAAAAAGAACCCAAAGAAAGAAAGATGTAGATTGAGAGTTTGGTTTTGATTGAAAATCTGGAAATAAATGAAAAAATATTCATTCTATATTTTGCCTAAATTTAGAAAAAATCAAAGGATATAATAGAAATATTCATGAAGCATTAATATGTTAATTATCAGATTATTTCTTTAAAGTTGTTGAGTCTTGTAAAAATTAGAGAATGTTGTGAACAGAACTTAATTTGAACTTTGATTATTAAAATGAAATCTTGGTCCTTATTCTCTTCTGTTTCCTTCAATCTGGGCAGGTTATTCTTTGGGGACTCCGTGGATTACAAACTAACCTTGTTTAAGGAAAAAAAATAGCAAAATCTGTGCTTTTTTAAGCAATCTGATCTTAAGGGTGAGCTAGGTTATTTTTCTTACATTTAATAACTTACTGTCATTGAATCCAAACAAACTTATAGCTGGCCCTGTATTGTGTTTTCAAAGCTATAAATTTGCACAGAAGAAGACTGCCCATTTTTCTCCTTAAGAGCCACTGGTTGATTTGAACCCCTGGAGAGGTGCTGTCCTCAGATTATCAATGCAAGTCCGTGGTCTATTTCACCAGAATTCTATTATGTTTATATTTAGGACAACCTTGTTTTTTCCTAAGAAAACTACTCAACATTTGAGATCAAGTTGAATGCCTACACAGTTATCCTTCCTTAAAACGTTAGGAATATGTACAAATAAATCAATAAAAATGAAGATAAGGATTGTGTCTTTTCTGTTGCATTCCATATATCCTGTAGTACAGTCACTTACATGAAATAAGTCCTCAAGAATTACTCTAGGCCAGGATTAAGATCCTTTATTCTATTCTGTGGACAATATGCTCATAGTCTTTGCTTGCGCTCTCTAATATGTGGATACTTGCTACTTTTGAGGAAATCCTTTCTCATCTGTAGACAGCAGATTGCTAGACTTTGTACCTATTTCTGTTAGAGACATCTGGAATATCGTAGTTAGATACATCAAATTGACTATGACTGATAGCAACCCAATGAGCAACAGATTAGAAACTTATCTTGCATCATCCTCACAGGACTCTATGTCATTCTCAAGCCCTTTGTTAGTAGTCACTGTGTCAGTCTAGCTTATTGAGGATCTTCCTCTTTTTCATTTTCCAGCATGGTTTCTTTCCCAAGAACTGGCCCTTCCAGAAAAAAATAACCAAAATATATGGTGAAGTTTCACCATCCATGCCTCTACGGAGTATATTAAGAGTGTCAGTTATGCAGAATGTTGGCTCTCGATATGTTAAGCACTAGACCTTCATTCATTCACTTCATTCATATTTGTCCTAGCATAGCTGCTGGTAGATTTGAATCACCAGAGACACATAGATTTTCAGTTAAACTATGTCTCCATGCCTTTGATGGATACACTGATGGAGAGGATAGGTGTTGCTTAATTAGGAAAAGAAGAGAAAGGCCAGGGATGTTCTCTAAAATGATTCCGTGAACTTGGAAGGTAGCAGGGTATTTTTGAATGATGATGGTCCTCTGTCCTATGGGACTAGGCAAACAATGTTCTACAATTGCTCAAGTGTAAAAATTAACTCTTCTATAACCCTCACTGACTGATAAGTGCCAAGAAATCTGGAGAACAACCACTTAGCCAACTGACTGGAAGAGATCTATATTTGTTCCCATTCCAAAGAAAGGTGACCCAACTGAGTGTGGAAACTACAGAACAGTGTCATTGATTTCACATGCAAGCAAGATTCTACTGAAGATTATCCAAAAACGATTAGAACAGCACATCAGCAGAGAACTGCCGGAAGTCCAGACTGGGTTTAGAAGGGGTCGTGGTACTAGGGATATTGTTGCTGAAGTTAGATGGATCTTGGCTGAAAGCAGAGAAAACCAGAAGAATGTCTATGTGTGTTTCATTGATTATGCAAAGGCATTTGACTGTGTGGATCATAACAAACTGTGGCTGACTCTGAGAAGAATGGGAATCCCAGAACATTTAATTGTGTTAATGTGAAACCTTTTCTTGGACCAAGAGGCAGTAGTCAGAACAGAGCAGGGTAACACTGCATGGTTCAAAATTGGGAAGGGTGTACGCCAGGGATGCATCCCGTCTCCATACCTTTTCAACATGTATGCAGAGCAGATTACCCGAGAGGCTGGGCTCTATGAGGAGAATTGTGGCATCAGGATTGGTGGAAGATCTATTAACAATCTGCGTTATGCAGATGACACAACCCTGCTTGCTGAAACTGAGGAGGACCTCATGCACTTGCTGCGAAGGGTCAAGGACTGCAGCCTTCAGTATGGACTGAGGCTCAATGTCAAGAAGACAAAGATTCTCACCACTGGACCAATTGGCAGCGTCAGGATGGATGACGAAGAGATTGAGATTGTTCACAGCTTCAGTTTGCTTGGCTCCACAGTCAACACTCTTGGCACCAGCAGTCAGGAAATCAAAAAGCGTATCGCGATGGGAAAGTCTGCTGTTAGGGACCTCTCTAAAGTTCTCAGGAGCAACAGTGTCTCTCTGGAGACTAAGGTGCGCCTGATACAGGCCATGGTCTTTGCAATCGCTTGCTATGCATCAGAGAGTTGGACAATGACTAGGGAGGACAGAAGGAGAGTGGATGCTTTTGAGCTGTGGTGCTGGAGAAGGGTACTGAATGTACCATGGACTGCCAGGAAAACAAACAAGATTCATCTTGGAGAGGATTAAACCAAGCTACTCCTTGGAGGCAAGGATTCTGGGGCTTCGTCTGACATACTTTGGACATGTTGCCAGTAGGGACGGGTCCTTGGAGAGGGACATCATGCTTGGGAGGGTGGAGGGGAAGACCCTCTATGAGATGGATTGATTCGGTGACTGGGGTAATCGGGATGGATGTGTCAGAGGTGGTGCGGTTGGCGCAGGATAGAGCAGGGTTTAGGGCTGTTGTGCATAGGGTCGCTATGAGTCGCAGGTGACTCGACGGCACATAACAACAGCAACAACAACATAACCCTCACTTCCAATAATCTTCAACTTAGTTTTTGTTCATATAGTCCTTTCTTCTCCATTCCCACCATCCCTATTAACAATGATAATTTTCCATGACAGCTTTCATGATTATTTTAGCATCTAGATATGAGATACTGAATATATAGCTAGTTAAATGGGTAATGAGGTTAAGGAAACATATTTTAAGTTCTAAAGTTTGGATTTTATTCAACAAAATCCAGGAGGTTTATGATTTAGTCACCTTTGACAAGTGACATTCTGGTAGAATTTTCATAGCCAGACTGAGAAAAGTCTTTCTAGAAATGGCTGAAGTCTGATATGTTCTTCACTTGGAATTCTTCTGGAAGCTCTGTGTTAGTTAATTTGATTTTTTAAACAGAGGACTAAGGATGACTATAGAGGAAATAGTTTGTAAGAGTGACCAGAGGAGTTTGTGTTGAGATAGCATATAGAATCTTAACGAATGTGGAGAGGTAGAGAGGGATGAGTTGGAAATTTCAAGAACTAAGAATGAGGATACCATACAAATTAGGGACATGAACTTCTGTAAACTAACTCTCAATTGCAGCTTAAGAGGCTTCTTTACAGTTCAAGAGGCAAAGCCTAACAAGAGCATCCACTGTTCCTTTCAGCACATCCCAGGAATGTTCGGGGCAATAAGCTACAGACCATTTTACCCCTTTGTTGATAGGTTGTTTGTAGTTGTTTTTCCTTTCTTTTTTTCCTGTCTTCTTTTTCCTTTTTTTTCTTTCCTTTTTTCTTTTACTCTCAAAAAACCTGCTGTTGCAGAGTTAAGTCCAGCTCATGTCAACCTTGTGTGTGTCAGGGTAGAACTGTATTTTATCATTTCCAGTGACTATAATAGAAACAGATCTTCAATCTTTCTTCTATTATGTTGCTGGATGGAATTGAACTGCCATCTTCTTGTTTAGTAGCGTAGTACAAACTGTTTGTACCAGCTCAGGTCCTTTTTGTTTATCCAAACAGGGGAGAAGGGAATAGGACATTAGAGTTGATAAAATGGGAGGGTAACCCACTGCCATCGAGTTGGTTCTTACTCAGTGGCCCTGAAGGACAGAGTACAGTTTTATCATGGGTTTCCAAGGACTTATTTACAGAAGCAGACAGCCCTGTCTTCCTTCCATGGAGTGGTTGATGGGTCCAACTACAGACAATTTGATTAGCAGCAGAATGAGCTTTTGCAAAGGGAGAGTACTTCTCAATTATA